TTATGTGTGTTTGAACCCAGCAGACATGTGGGTCAGGGTTTGGTCCTAGCATCTAAAAAAGGCAATATCTGGTTTTATAGTGTGTGAACTGAGACCTTAAAGATTTCACCAACTAGCACCCTCCCAAATGCGGCTTTAGATTGAAGAGAGACTTGAAACGCTTCCAATCATAAAACAATGCAACTTTAAATCACACGCTATAAAGCCCAAACCACACAAACCAAGAAGGGAAAAAAACCTTACTTCTACATTTGGCCACAAAAACAGTACTGTCTAATACAGAACAAAACGTACAACATTTCTGTCCTGTTATCCCAGAGCTGGACCTCCTACACACTGAAGGCAAATAGAGGGTCGAGGGCTGGTCTGGTCTTGCGTAACACATCAAAAATCATAACTGCTGACACGTAACTAACTATTCACATACTTCTACTAACTTTAAAAAGTACATTCTGTGATTTCAAAGGAAAAGTTCATGCTTTTAAGTATGAAGCAAACCAGCACAGCATACACACTATATTGTCATAAAATTATGGATTGATACAAAATTTGCAAAGAGCCCAAAACCTATGCGTTCTACATGCTTCAAAATATGCATGCTTCAAACCTATTTCAGCATACAGTACTATGACTTGGAATGAAATAATCATAATATCCTAATCCTAATACTACATAAGGTTAAAATTATGTGAAAATATGCATACACTGAATTATGTAGTATGCTATCTGGACACCCTTGACTATTTTCTATGATTTGGGACATGCTAATCTTTATCTTGCATACTGTATGAGATGGATACAAACAGAAGCAGATATGCAGCATCATTCAGCATCCTATTTTCAACACTGAGATGCACTAATATTAACTGCATGCTATATAAGACAAATAGTGTGTGAACAGATGCATACTCCAAAACTTTGCCAACACTAATATAATAGACAGTATGGAAAAAGACACATACTTCAAAAATCAACTGTAAATCGTACACCACCCATGCACACATATTCAACATACTATATTGCACTCATCTTAATATTGCATGTTATGTAAGTTAGTATGTGAACAAATGCATTTCTGCATACTATGATATCCAGTTATTATATTGACATACTATGATTTAAGAAGTTTACATAATATTTATTATGGAGGGCATGAGACTGATGCATACTTATAAAATCCATCGTAAATACAATGCAATCCAGTTACTTTTAACATACCATTTTAAAAACACTATGATTTGTCATGCACTAACTTTAATATTACATGCCATATCAGATACTAATATTGCATGCTATATCAGTCACTACTGACATACTAATTTCAGCATACTCTGATTTAGGTAGTTTACGCTTAATCTTGCATTCAATTTGAGCATGAGACTGATACATACTTAAAAAAATCCATTGTAAATACTATGCAATCCAGTCACTTTTGACATATTATGATTTTAGTTGCATCAATCTTAATATTGCATGCTATATCAAATACATTGTATGTGAACAGATGCATACTTGCATACTATGACATCCAGTCACTACTGAAATTCTAATTTCAACATACTGTGATTTAGGTAGTTTACTCTTAATCTTGCATACAATTTAATATGGAGAGAATGAGACTCGATGCATACTTTTAAAATTCATTAAATACTATGCAATTTAGTCACTTTTGACATACTATGATATTAGATGCACTAAGCTTAATATTGCATGCTAAATAAGAGAGATAGCATGTGAACAGATGCACACCTATGGCATCCAGTCACTATTGACATACTATTTTCTGCATACTATGATTTAGGGAGTTAACTCTTAAACTTGCATACTTCTTAATATGGAGAGCATGAAAATCATGCATACTTAGAAAATCCATCTTAAAGGCACAATATGTAATTTTCGCTGCTAGAGGGCACGTATTCAAAATAAACAAATAGACAAAGGCGTAGTTAGATGACGCCGTGACTAAGTGTGGAATCATGGGAGTTGTTGTCTTCATCTCCATAGTCGATGCAATCCGACGGGACTCGGGCAGAAATCATGTTCATGCATGAGCTAATGATTTATTAAGGTAGTAGAATGAAGCAGGGTGAGGCTGAAAGCCGTCGAAGTGAAACGAGGCCGCTGAACGAGCGTGACACACGGCTCGAAATCAGTGCAGCTTTTATTATGCCATAGTCGACCGCTTCCGCTCCTTCCAGTCATGCGTATGTGGGGGGAAAAAGCAGCGCTGTTTTATCATACTACATACATTTGAAAGTTCTGTTATAATGCTACTCTGTACGGTCGTCACCGGTCTATTAAAACGCACAACATATTAAAGCATCTTTGGTCTTTCCATGTTTTCTACAAACCGGAAATCAAGGGGTTATGACGTCATTGGCAGGCGGCACAATGACACTATAGACACGATCCGTGTCACTAATTAAAATTGCTTATTTCTCTGGATTTAAACATTCTTCGAAACATTGGTGATAATTTAAGTACACAAGTCAGCAAAATATATAACACTGTTCTAGTGGTTTTTGGATATTTTAATAAAAAAATCTTACATATTGTGCCTTTAAGTAGTATGCCGTCCAGCCAGGCACCTTATACATTACATTTTGAACATACAATGATTTGGAGTGTACCAATTTTAATCTTACACACTAGTCAGTAGTTAGTATGCAAAAGGGGATTCTGGGAGTTCGATTAGGCGGAAAACCCTTCATCCTCTTCCTGTTGGAACTGGACTGGTACCTTTTAATAGCCAAGGGAAGACACTGCTTGTTCTGTTAATGGGAGCCATCGAGCCAACGGCAACACAAATCTGATTTCTCCTCAACGTTAATATTCCTCTCTATGATTCTCACTGAATCAAACACTGAAATGAAGAATTGGGATGGCTGAAATAGGCAGCTTGCTCTCATTACATGAGAAACATTATTGAAAGGCAACAAGGGTGTGAAAGTTTGGCTCTAAACGTTTCAGATTTTCTTCTCTCATGATTTTAAGGGTCTGCAGAACACAACAACAACGAGTAACCAAAACCAGAGACAAAACACACGTGGGCAATAAACAATCGTTACAACATGCCATTTTTTAAAAATAATTAGTTTACTCTCAAAAGAGAAGCACACACCCAGCAGGCTAAATGAGCGAGGCCGGTCAACCGAGAGTGTCCGTAAAACACTCATAAAACAGCACTAGTGTGAGTAATAAAGCAGAACAGCCCTGCACAGGAAGTGCAGCTGCATCCCTGTCAGCCATCTTTGCCTTTCTCAAGCTTTTCAAGCTTCTGTCTATTGTGACGTAATAGCGCCACTGTATCCCACAACTTCCCGCAGCACGTCATTCTTTACCTACAGATCCCATTCGGTTAGTCCCGCCCACTGCATGACATCACCATTAGACCACGTGTTGTGGAAGCAGTGAGCGCTGCTGACTGACTCAGCTTTGACAGAAATGCTTTCCTGCGAGTCTGGCTGCGGATCAAGTCCACCATCTTTTCTACATTACCCCACTACACACGTGCTCTAAAAAAACTAGAAGCATACAGAAATTAAGTACACTACATAGGGATCAGAGCTGTATTTAGAACAGAGCCCAAAGCATTCTAGATTGCAAAAGAAACTAAACAACTTTAAATTTCAGTCTGATTCGACTCTGAGCATTTTTCTAGCGTACAGGATGCTCAGAAAACAAATCTTAAGTTTTAACTAATGGCATATTGCAGATGAGATCAGAATGTATGTGATTTGATAAATGCATGAAGTTGCTCTCTACAATAACTGTTCTACATAGTCTCCTGGGTAATTCCTTCTATAAGTGGTTTGCAAGATAATTGCGAGCTTCACCTCGAGCATCTCTGATCTACTAGAGAAGACATGCGGCGACGCCACCCTGACCCACTGATGTTCTACCAGGAGCCAAGACATTGCAACTAACGAGCATTTATCTATCTGGTTTTTCAATAAACTGAGAGGACAGCCAGAGTGATGGGTTTGTTTTATGAGCCTATGGAAAAACATAAACTTCTCTCTGTCTCTCTCTCTCTCTTTCTCTCCTGGTGTGTTTCTCATCTTGCATATTTTTCCAATTACGTTCTGCAGTCAGCGCGCCTGCTGGAGGAAAACTGCCAGATCCCCTAAAAAGCATGTGAAACATCTTCCAAAAAGTCTACAAAACTCGTTCTAGGTTGAGTGTTCACACATCAGCATTGATCGTAATCTGAAACCAAAAGGGGTCCTGATGTCCTACAACCCTAAAGATAAAGCTTCTTCAATGGTTCCTTGAAGTTCCTGAAATCCAGCAAAGAAGCATTTGGCTGTATAGAGGTTCTTCAGATCAGCGTTTTGGATTCAAGATTCAGGATTCGGTGAAGCATCAGTACATAAATGGCTCTGTAAAGGAACTTCAGAAGGTTCTCCTGCGACGTTGCTTCTAACTTATAAGTTTATAAGTTCCACCGATGACTTTTTATTCTCTAGTTCTAGAAAACTAGACCATCTAGTCTGCTTTACAGATACCAGAACCAATACTATGAAGGGAATAACCTATAATGCAATATGAAGAACCGTAAATAGTCGCAAAATAACCATTGAGGAACTTTTTTAGGTATGCATATGAAATCCTGGAATCCAGATTTCTACTATGACGACGCAATTTACTAATTTGCATAAGAATAGTGGACGGGGAGCCGCGCAAACGAGCTGCATGCCACAATAGATGATGCATCACGATATCCTCATGCAGCGGTTGCTTTGCGCAGGAAAACTTCCCTGATTCCGTTATTCGCTGCTGCTCTAATGTTTCCCCCCCCACACACAAAAAACGGAACTTCGGACGTTCCTAGTTGAAAAATCCCACTCTAGAGCCTCTACCATCCCCTCCTCCGGTCATTCCAGTCCTGGGACAGCGGACTGACCGTGGAATGCGCTCGCGCAGGAGAACCGCAGCCACGGGAGAGCGCGGCCCGCGGCACAAAGTAACAGTTTGGGAACCGCTGATTCGCCGCTTACCTGCGCTGACTCGTGAGGTGACAAACATCAGGAATACTAGGACTACCGAGAGCCGCACCTCCTTAAACCTCCGCTTTACTTTCCATCTGATAGGTGTATCCATGACCACCTGCGCCCGTCCTGACGCGAAGAGTTTGGTTATATTATTTTGACAACTGCTTGATATCAGGACAGAACCAGTAACCCGACAGTCCCGGAGAGAGAAAGCGCGACAGCTCAAAGCCTCTCATGCAGCCATACGTTGATAAAGTCCTGCGGGAACATTCAGTGGATGGATAGATGGATGGATGGGGCACCTCTCTCCCTTCTTTTCCCTTCTGTTCTTTCCTTCCCTTCAGTGCGCTGCAGTGATGCCCCCGTCACTGAAACTTCGTGGAGCCAAAGTGGGAAACAACTTCATTCACACGGACTGTCAGTCACGCGGCGAGCGGCCAATCGGACAGCGTCGCACAAAATGCGCGGCTTCTCATTGGTTAGTGCTGTGGGTAGGCGGGAGCTTTACAGTGTGGGACTTAATTTACTCTCTTTCTCTTTCTCTCTTTTTGTCTGCAAGATTTGAGTCCATTGCAGACTGTCTTTTAGTATTTTTGACTCCTCTAATTTGATGGGTGTAACAGCAGAAAATCACCCAGTTAAAGGACCCTTGTTAATATAACATCCTATATAAATAATGCAGAAAAAAACAGTTCTTTATGTGTCTAGCATCAAATAGGCCTTGTAATACTAAAAACCCATATGGAAAACTGAACATATATAACTTAAAATGGATTTTGCATCACCCAGAAGGGGTTTATTTTTACATTAATGATCGTCTGATTGCTTTGCAATGCGCCTGTTTACTAAAATAAATAAGTAAATGCATCTGAAATATTGATTAGATAACCATATTCCTTTGTAATTGACCAGCGCAACGCATTTTGAATCACCATTGCGTATGAAATACATAAATAAACTTGCTTTATCTTACCTTGCCTTGTGAACTGTTCTGAACAGTGCTGTGAATCCCGTGTTCCTAAAATTTAAGTTTGCAGACTATTTTAGGGCTGAAACGATTCAGGAGCTCCTGACGTCTGCGACAGCTGGAGCACACAGGACCACAAGGGTGATGACCTTTTGACACGGGTCCGAATGTACAGAGGGGAAGGGAATCCTGTTCAGGTTACATGTCAAATAAAATGAAACCAGCTACTTCCCCTACAAATCAATCAATCAAGTTTTAAATAAATGCATAAATATACATTTAAAAGTAGGTAAAAGAGGTGCAATATTACGATAAACTCAGTTGCAGTTTTGTGTAAGTTATTAGATATGGTAATATCCGTATTATATAGTGCCAGGTTTATTAGACAACTAGATTAGGAAGCCAGCTATGGAAGAGAAAAAGTTTATGAGTATATGGGAAATCATTTTAAAGTAAATAGCAATTATATGGGAAGTATATTCATTTTGTCTTTGGGAACTGATAGGCCCATATGACCAAAAAAAAGTAAATAATTAAATAATAATAATTAATAATAATAATAATAATAGTAATTCTGGCTAAAAATATATTTAAACATATGCTAAATATATGTTGTAAACTGTGAAGCTCAATTAAATATATATATTTTTTAATTTAAAATATATTTATTTTCAACTTTCATATATTAAAATATATTTCCAAATGTATTTCAGGGGCAAGAAAGTACATTTCCAGTCTTACGTTTATATGCCTTATTCATTATTTATTTTTATTCAAATGTCTTATATATTCATAATGAGGAAAAAAATGAACTTAAATGATTTTAGCAAATGGCTGCAATATAACAAAGAGTGAAACATTTAAGGGGGTCTGAATACTTTCCGTACCCACTGTATATATATATATACATATATATATGTATGGGGGCTCATGAAAGTGAGTGTTACATACCAGGATGGATTTGTTAGAGGAAAGAGGATGAAAAAGTAAGAGGGATTCATGATGTCAATGAAAAGGAAAGTCTTTTTAGAGGCGGAACATTTTATGAATGATTACAAAGACTAACATTTCCTTTCTTTGGAATAACATGAACTAATCAGTCATGTACAGTAGGACCAGGAATGTTATTGAGAAAGTAAATTGGGTACATTTTGATTTCATGTTGCCTGCAAGTGTGCCAGCGGAGCTATGACATCATATTGTATTTGAGCTCAGGTTTACGGTACAGAATGACGTGTTCACAGAATCCCAGGCTCATATAGAGCTCCAGGTTACACGCGCTGTATGCAGTCATGTCTCACTCCACTTCAGGTTACGGGAATGTGAAGAATGCAGCTTGTTTTATGCAGGGTGTCCGTGAGCCAGCGGGGGGCAGACACTCCTGTACAAGCCTGCAAAACACACACACAAAAGGGCCACAATTAAGACTTGCCAAATGCCAAATGGGACTATTGGCTTTAGATGAATAAAACATTTAGTTTGCTGTTACCTTTTTTAAAAGAAATAGGTTTCTGGAAGAAAATGCAAGTGATGCTTGCCAGTGCACACGTTACTTTGAATCAAGTGCATTTCTATGTGCATTTCTAACATTTTATTATATACGATTATAGTATTTATTAATATTTTATTTTTACATTTTCAGTTTTCATTTTAATTTTTACACTGTAAGAAAAATATCCATAGAAAAACAGAAAATATATATTATTTCCATTAACCTTAAAACATGGCATAATGCAATGTATAGGGGTAAAAGACATTAAACATCAATTTAAAAAATCCTTCATATTAGCGCAGTAGAGACGGCCCTATTTTTTTGTGTGTGTATAGTTTAGTTTAAGTTTTTGTCTTTTGTTGGTTTTCGCCATTTTTATAATTCTATTTAGCTTTAATCTATTATTTATTTCAGTTTTTAGTAATTTTAGTACTTCAACTTTATAATTTTTTTTAATTAAAGTTGCCAAGACAACTTCTTGTTTTAAAAATTGTTTACATTTTTTTTTTAAATCATGTACAGTAGGACCAGGAATGTTATTGAGAAAGTAAATTGGGTACATTTTGATTTCATGTTGCCTGCAAGTGTGCCAGTGGTGCTATGACATCATATTGTATTTGAGCTCAGGTTTACGGTACAGAATGACGTGTTCACAGAATCCCAGGCTCATATAGAGCTCCAGGTTACACGCGCTGTATGCAGTCATGTCTCACTCCACTTCAGGTTACGGGAATGTGAAGAATGCAGCTTGTTTTATGCAGGGTGTCCGTGAGCCAGCGGGGGGCAGACACTCCTGTACAAGCCTGCAAAACACACACACAAAAGGGCCACAATTAAGACTTGCCAAATGCCAAATGGGACTATTGGCTTTAGATGAATAAAACATTTAGTTTGCTGTTACCTTTTTTAAAAGAAATAGGTTTCTGGAAGAAAATGCAAGTGATGCTTGCCAGTGCACACGTTACTTTGAATCAAGTGCATTTCTATGTGCATTTCTAACATTTTATTATATACGATTATAGTATTTATTAATATTTTATTTTTACATTTTCAGTTTTCATTTTAATTTTTACACTGTAAGAAAAATATCCATAGAAAAACAGAAAATATATATTATTTCCATTAACCTTAAAACATGGCATAATGCAATGTATAGGGGTAAAAGACATTAAACATCAATTTAAAAAATCCTTCATATTAGCGCAGTAGAGACGGCCCTATTTTTGTGTGTGTGTATAGTTTAGTTTAAGTTTTTGTCCTTTGTTGGTTTTCGCCATTTTTATAATTCTATTTAGCTTTAATCTATTATTTATTTCAGTTTTTAGTAATTTTAGTACTTCAACTTTATAATTTTTTTTAATTAAAGTTGCCAAGACAACTTCTTGTTTTAAAAATTGTTTACATTTTTTTTTTAAATGTCATCTATTTTTGAATTAGATAGAATTTTCTGTATTCACTTTAACTTTGTTTAAATGTTTAGTATTTTTAAGTAAATATTGTGCTTTTGTCATTTTTATTAGTTTTTTTTAAATACGTCTATATAGTTTTTATTATTTCCTGTTTATTAGTTTATTTAGTACATCAAAAGTTAGGCGAAATGCAACTGTTTATAAGTTGAAATAAGTTTAAGTTTAAAATAAGTTTAAGATATTTTATTTCAGTTAATGTTTATAACATGTCAAACAGTAAATTTTTACACTGTAAGAAAAATATCCATAGAAAAACAGAAAATATATATTATTTCCATTAACCTTAAAACATGGCATAATGCAATGTATAGGGGTAAAAGACATTAAACATCAATTTAAAAAATCCTTCATATTAGCGCAGTAGAGACGGCCCTATTTTTGTGTGTGTGTATAGTTTAGTTTAAGTTTTTGTCCTTTGTTGGTTTTCGCCATTTTTATAATTCTATTTAGCTTTAATCTATTATTTATTTCAGTTTTTAGTAATTTTAGTACTTCAACTTTATAATTTTTTTTAATTAAAGTTGCCAAGACAACTTCTTGTTTTAAAAATTGTTTACATTTTTTTTTTAAATGTCATCTATTTTTGAATTAGATAGAATTTTCTGTATTCACTTTAACTTTGTTTAAATGTTTAGTATTTTTAAGTAAATATTGTGCTTTTGTCATTTTTATTCGTTTTTTTTAAATACGTCTATATAGTTTTTATTATTTCCTGTTTATTAGTTTATTTAGTACATCAAAAGTTAGGCGAAATGCAACTGTTTATAAGTTGAAATAAGTTTAAGTTTAAAATAAGTTTAAGATATTTTATTTCAGTTAATGTTTATAACATGTCAAACAGTAAAACACACACACATATAGTTTTAGTTTTGGTTAACTATATTAACTCTAATGTAAGTGTATTAAATTAAATTCAGAATTTAGAATTCAGAATTCAAAGAGAATAAAAACAGTATCACTTCTATCATAATTTGTATTGTGTTCAGCTCTCATTGTGGAAATTGTTAAAGGAGAATGTTTATGAGTTTCAGATGGTGTAAGACTGAGTCCAAAGCATCACTGTCTAACCACACACACACACACACACACACACACACACACACGGCAGATATTAGTGATTGGATTATACAGTATAGCTTTCATAATGCACTCTGACTCTTTATGGCAGATGTCCTCTCCGTTACATGCCGGGACACACCAGCACACATTGCTTGGCTGTGATATGTTCATCAAAGCCCGGATCACTCAGCAAGATTATGGATCTTCACACATGCACAAAGAACATATGAACACACAGACAGCAGAAACCACGTTTACAACACACAATGCACACATTTACACACATACAGATGCACACATTCTTCCCCGTGCCAGAAATCACTGCTGCACTGCATCCACCCAACATAACGCTTCAAACGAGAGATTGATGAACAGCCATTCACAGCTGCCCAAGCATGCACGGACACACAAGAGCAAACATCACACGCAAACACATATTTATCAATATATTGACACTAAAACACCTAACACAGAGAGAGAGAGAAATATTTATCAACCTATTATTTTAGAATATAATGGGGATTTGTGAGACCAAAATCCAATTTGTGGTACAATTATAATGTGTGATTGCCTCTTATAAATATATATATACTATTTATTCTTAAACAATTGAATAAAAGGTTCATTAGGAAATATTCAGCCACTTTTGACACTGTTTCAAAAAAGTGTCCCATAATGTAACCTAAATTCATCTTACATGCTCTGCATATTTATTAAAGTAAATACTTTTTTTGTTTTTGAAAGAAGTCTCTTCTGCTCACCAAGGCTGCATTTATTTGATAAAATACAATAAAAACAGTAATATTGTGAAATATTATTATCATTTAAAGTTTTCTCTTTTGCTTCCTGCGATCAAAGAGTTTTCATCAACCATCTTGCTGATCAATAAACATTTCTTATTATGATCATCAATGTTGAAAAC